GTGGTGGAGGAGAGCAGCAAAGGTTTTCCTGCTGCTGCTTCCGCCTCCTCCTCTGCCTGGAGCTCTTCCTTCCCCCACGAGTATCGCGGGTCCCACCTCTTGTGTGTATGTATGTGTGTGTATATATATATATATATATATATATATACACACACAGACAGAGAGAGAGAGAGAGAGAAAATAACAGTTTCCACAAGTTTACCAGAAACAAGCATTGGGCTACCTAGCCTGCAGTTTTCTGGATATTTTTTTTAAAAGGTGTTACATTCACTACCTTCCAATTATTCAGAAGGGATGCTGATTTTAACACTGTATATTTTTGTTACATCAAGTTTCCGTTTGGAGCTCCTTAAGACCCTTTGGTTGCATACCATCCAGACTTGTATTTTCTTGACTTACCCATTAGTCCTGAACCATCTTCAGTTATCACCTGTGACTCAGTTCTTCCAATATCCTTTCTGAAGACAGCAACTCTGGTGTCAGTAACCACTGCACATTTTCCACAGCCTTTGAAAGCTGCAACAGGATTCCCTAAGTAAAAGATATTTTATCTGTTCTGAACCACAGCTAATTTCTAAGATGGAGTCTTTTCACTGCTGACAGAATTGAGAGCAGAAAGCAGCTATGTTCTATGCTAAAAAAAAATGCTGTTGTATCATGCCTGCAAAGCCTGCAGTATTTGTGGTAATATGCAGATGGTGTGTTCCACTATAACTCATTATTGGCTGGCTTTAGGATTGAGAGGCAGGCAGAGCAAAAAGTTGGAACACACTAGTTTTAAAATAAACTTAGCCTGTAAGAGAAATGCCACATTTAGGCCCCGGTCACGAGCGAGATAATCTGGGGGGGGGGAGGAGTGAGGTTTTTTGCCGTGGAGCAAAATGAAGCACAGTAGTTGGATCAGACGTTCCTCCGAGGCGCCATGCTTAGGCCATCAGCCGCCAATCACATGTTGATGGTGAAGCGTGGCAAAGAAGGGGGGAAGAAAGAAGCGGCATGGCGCGATCACACATGCGGCGATCGCAAGCCGCCGCTTCCCAATCAGACGGGCATTTTTTTTCAGACCGGAGTTCCCACATGTGCATGACCATGGAAGCGAATCCGTAGAACAGTGGGCATGCATCGCACTGCCTAGCTAAATGGCGAGCCGGTGCATCAGTTTCGTGTTTGTGTGCATGCGCAGTTTCACATTTGTGCACATACCACGGAGGCTTAAAAAAAATCCGGTGTGAGACAGGATGCAAACAGGCACCAGATGCGACGGAATACCAGCGCTTCCGCAATCCGACCCCTGCCTGCGCCCCGCGTTTTCTGGAAAATGCTGCACTTTCCCAGGTATCTTTTTACTTTGCATCTTCGGCGGGGCAATACGGGTTGCCGATGGGTGCGGGACACTTGCCAGATGTTCCCGTGTGATTGTGCCCATAAAATCCGCCCGATATTCTCCCCTATTGCGCGGCTAATTCTGTGTGTGACCGGGACCTTAGTAAGTCAAAATTTTAGTAGCTACTTTCCCTTAAATTAAAAGCAACCTCCTGTTCCTAATTTTTTTCCTAATTGTTTAAAGCACATTATCCAGCCACATATCCCCACTCTGGCTCCTTGATGGATTTTGAGATATCAGAGACTAATCCCTTCTGTAATCAGTAGTGACTGATGTTCTGGCTAGTAGCCAGAGGAAAATGCCAAATATGGGGATTTCACTCCTGTCTGTTCTTTAAGCATAGGTTCTGGTTCCTTGAATATTGAAACAAGCTTCATGAATGGTATGGTACATCATTCCTGGTATCTTTTTTATGTTGAAGTCACCTGAATTTTTAGTTGTATCAACAGGTCTTAAACTGCTGTGGGACACCCCCCCACACACTTTTGTCACAATATAATATATTGAAGGCACTTGGAAATGTTCCCAGTTTTAAGTAAGTGGAACAATCCCACAGAATTGGTTGTTTAAAAAAGGGGTGAACCACTGAACTGGAATTAAATTGTAAGAGATCTTGTGGAAGACACTTTTTAGATTTATTTATTTATTTCCCTATTAATTTAATTCTTATTCCAGTCAAATTCTTACTATTCTTTTAGATTTTGGTTTTCTTAGTGGATATGATTGTTTCATGTATTTAGCAACTTGCTGGAATGAATTACAGTTTTTAAATGCTTTATAAACAAATGGAGTACAAATATGAAAGTAATTTTTGAAAGCTGACCATGAGTACATTCAGAACACCAACTTTTAAAATACTTCCAAACTTGTGCTCCATTTATTTGGCACATGGCCATTCTAGCACGAAACAGCTAAATGAAGAGGAAATGCAGGCTAGCCTAACTCTGTACTTTTAAAGCTAACTGGTGTGCAGAAATTAACAGATGAAACTTTTAACTGCATGAGCATGCTACACAATAGTAGCAGCTGGTAAAAACTTGGCAACTCCGGAGACCACTTGTTTCACTGTATCTGACAAAGTGTGCAGCAATGCTCTCTCTAAGCTGTGAAGTCTTGTGAGCAAACATTCTATTTTGTGAGCTACTGGCACTAAAGTTGTGAGCAAGTGATTTGGCTACTGCATAAATTAGTTTGCTCTGGAGCAATCCTTCCTGACCTAAGACAAAAATGTGTGAGCCAGAGGCTGAAAAACTGTGAGCTAGCTCACACTAACTCAGCTTAGAGAGAACACTGCCAGGCACACAAAAGCTTATACCTTAAATAAAACTTTGTTGGTCTTAAAGGTGCCACTGGACTCAAACTTTGTTCTGCTCCATCAGACTAACATGGCTACCCACCTGAATCTTATTGAGGATGATTGTTATTCCCCATGGCACTGTCCAATAGCATAAGGACATAGATATTCTGTAGGGGAGCAGATCACATAGAAAGAGCCATGCTATCATCAAAGTATTGATCAGAAGAAGGCACGTGGCTTCTACAACTGACCAAATTGGTGTGGGATGGACTCATGGGACAGCAGCACCCACCCCACACCTATAACTTAAGAATTGCTCTTTCAAGGAAGAACCACTGATTTTGTTTAGTTAAAGGTTGGGAGTTCTGCCAATAATTGCTTACAGAACCTTCAGGAAAATAAGTACTCTGTAGTCATTAACATCTACATTATACTTTGGTATGTTTTATTGTTCCAGAATGTATGTGAGAGAAAACAGATGCAACTAGTTACGTTGCTAACTTTATGCCTCATCTGCAATAGAGGCAGATTTTTAGGCTTTACTGTGCATGGTAGGTGCATGTGTTTATGGTAAACACTTTGCTTCATGAAGGGCTCTATATGTATCTGTTTTATTTGGTACTTCATTAACTATTTTATTATGCATTATGCCATCATGAAATAATTACCAGCATATCCAAATTCATAGTAATCCCTGCTAGCAGTTTCCAAAAAGCAAACTAGTATATTTGGGGTTTTTTATTCCATTATAAAGACAAAGAATTGTTCCATCTTCCTGGACTATGTTCAGTATAGCCTAGCTTTGGAACTGGACTTCAAATGGTTATGGCTGTCACAAGTCTGGCTAGCTTCATCCATTCCATACAGTGGTGGAAGTCTATATTTTGGGGATCGAGGCAACCTGGAGGCAGCAAGATTTGCACTTGGTCTGCAGGGATGCTGTTGGGACGGTGTTGGCACAGATAACCATAATTCAGCTGGCCAAGGAACCTCTTGTTCAAGTATAGCTGATTTCTGGGATTTCAGCACATCCATTTCCAAGTCGGCATAGCTAATGAAATGCCTTCCATGAAAATACATAGATTGTGATCCAATTATTTTCTTGTTGTATTTGCAGTACCAGAAGGTCATAATCAATATTATCATAATAGCAGCACACATGCTGATTAGCAAAGCGGAAAAAATATTTCTTCTCCAGGAATGGCAGTCCTTAAATGCAGTTATGGTTTGGTTTGATATTAAGGACTCATTAGAAGAGCAGGTTCCACCATACGCAACATCCTCTGTATGATAGACGTGGTATTCTGGCAACATTGCCTCAACAAAATCGGGATTAACATTTCCACCTGGTAGTCTTAGTTTAACCAGCACTTCCTGGATTTCATCTCTTGCACATCTGCTATTCCTTGTGCAAAAAGAATTTTCATACCACGTGATTAGAGTGGACCCAGGTCTGAGATGCAGCACTGTCATACTGCCTGGACTGCCGGA